CCCGCCGTCGTCGACGACGCGGCCTGGGAAGGGCGGGGGAGCGGGGGGAGAGGCAGAGCGAGCGGGGAATCATAGGGTCAGAAACGCTGGGATTCCCTGGTGCTCCGTCTGATTTCCACAACCCAAAGCCCTAAATCCAGATTTGTAAAGGTCTTGCTCTGGGCCTCCTCCTCGTGGCTTCTCCTCCTCCGCCTCCTCCTCCTCCTCCTCCCCCGTCGTCGTCTGCCTCCCTCCTTCCTCATCCCTCCTCCTCCTCCTCGCTCCTCCTCCCCCGCACGCCTGGATCAGGATCTCCAGGCGCGTCGCTCTTGCCAGTCTTCGCAACCTTGGCAATCTTGATGACGTCATCGCCCACGACGTCGTGATCATGATCCGAGTAGTCCTCGCCTTCAGGCTTGAGACCAAAGGGCAAAGTAAAACTCACATCCTTCGGCTTGTCTATCTTCTCAGCGCCTGCTAGCCTGGCATTCAGAGGGACCTCCTCCTCGTGGGACGTGCCGATGATCCTGATGGCGAGCCCTCGGTTGTGCGCTACCTTCTCGACGTTGTGCAGTTTGAACTTGATGCGCAAACCCGCAGCGACCACTAAAGGGTCGAGGCCGCATCGAATCGCGAAACCTCGAATCGCCATCTGTCCAGTCATCGATGCTATATGTCTGAAGCCGCGCTCAACCACGACCAGCGGCTTGAAGGTGTCGTGAACTCCTGTAGGCTCCAGCCGCAGCAAGAATATAGCTTCACCTTTACCGAAAGTGTCTGCAATGACGTAGTGGTTGACTGTGCCGTGCAAGCTGAACGACGCAGTCGCAGGTAGCATATCCCGACGAATATTCCATCGCTTCAGAAGCTTGTAGATATTCTCCACGCCGAACCTTGCTGCCGGTAGCCAGCGGTCCAGGCTGCAGACCCCCCAGTTCTTGGAGTGGCACGACCGCGTCGGAATGGCTGCCCCTGGGGGGTTGTCCACCACCTTCTCGTCGTAGCCGAAAGCTGACTTTATCTTGTCCCTGCAAGTCGCCTCCGTGATGCGGGCGTCCACCTTGTCAGGGCGCAGTGCCGACGATGAAGAAGCGATGCCCAGTCCTGCATCCCACGCCGCGTGCGACTCGATATCCTGAAAGACTTGGATAAACAACTTCTGCATTAAGAGCTTGCACCTGTTATCGCCCAGCTGAGGGCGGGCAGCCTCGATATTGGCAATGGTCAGGTCGCCCAGGACGTTGGCGACGGTCTCGGACATCGCGGCAACATGTCCCCGATACAGAGCCTTATCGTCGTCTGTCGTGATTGCCCACAAATCCTTGATCCGCCTCTCCTCGGCCACGAACTCCTGGCTTCCGACGGGGGAGTGACACGACCACTTCTCCGAGCGAAAGCGTTGATAAGCCACCGTGTCCTTATTCGCCTTCGCAGCTTTCTCCAGAGTCGTGACCTCGACGTGCTGCGAATCCTTCGACGACTGACGGGAGCCATCCAAACGGAACCTCCTGGACAACGCATGGTACTGGTTAAGGGTCATCCCGTATCGGCCCAGCACGGCCTTGTGCACCATATCAGAGTTCAACTTGGCCTCTTGCACTGCGCTCTGACCGTAAGTGTTTACCGAAAGGTTCGTCGCGTCGACTGCGACGCCTCGTGACTTGATTGGCTTCAGAGACTGCCCGTGGAGATGTCTTCGCTCGGCGCTCGCGCTGCCCATGCGAAGGTGAGCGAGCACGCCAGTTAGATGAACGTGGGCCTTCTCAGGATCAGAGTCGAAGAACCTTACCATCTCCGCGGCGAAAGAGTCGTCGAAGCAAGCCCTACAAGTCCTGCGGCCCTTCAGGGCAGTCAAGGAGTTAAGCACCGAGTCAGCGGAGTAATTGAACTCGCTGCCACTGTCTTGCGTGCAGAGCTCGAAAATCCGAAACCTGGGATCCTCGAAATAGAAGACAAGACGTCGCCAGGCACCAGAGGCCGCAGTTAGAGCCAAATAAGCAGCGTCCAACTTGTCAGTATCGTTCATTCTCCATCCCTGCCACTGGTTGCTGTCTAGGTTCGTGATCATGTCTGCGTAGCCGGAGAGGACCGAGCGCCCGCACGATCCACTCACGAACTTGTAGTTTAACTTGCAACACTCTGTGAAGAAGGCGCGAAAGTCTTCCCCAGTAAGGCCTGTTGCCGCAGCGTGAGTAAGTTTCCCAGAAGCCTTGTCCGCTTTCATAACCAAGTTCAAATTTCTTTGAAGAGGCTGCGTCAAAATCTGGGACAAGAAGATATGTCTACCACCGTGATCGTTGTCGAAACTGCGCATCACTCCACCTGCTTTGACCGTCGCCTTTGTCTGGAAGCTCAACTCGTCGACACTCCTGGCTGCCTGTGCTGCCGCGTTCGCATCTTCGACCTCTCTTTGAGTCCACATCTGTTGCAAAGCCCTTGGCAATAAATCATGCTGGCCCCTACCGCGGGAGGCGAAGGCAAGAGCTGCGTCTATGTGTTTCCATCTGTACAATAACGCCACGGGGCATCCAGAGCCAATGCAAGTCCGAGCCAACTCTTTGCAATATGTTTGCTGTGGTCCCCGTTGGTGCACCCGCTAGGGCAGTCGCCGACGACGCAATAGTGTATGCATTTTGCATCTTTCCAGTTTCCATTGTCGTGGTTAAGGATTGCGACGCAGTCGGCATCGGATAATGCACCACATGAATGGGAAGCTTCGAGAATCCAAGCTGAGTCTGCCGTCCAAGAAGCGCACTCATCAGGCAGCCTGAGAACTTCACGATAATCAAATATCTCGCCGATTACCGAGTCCACTGCCCCAAGCAACTTCTTCATGTTAGTCGCGCCCTCCAAGATGTGACCTAAACGCATGAGGGCGGATGGTAAATCACCCTGGGCTTGGTACACGCGTCTTGTCAGTAGACATGTCTGGTGCCCCTGGCAGTGCACGTCCAAGTGAGCGCGAAAACGGCCATCGCCCCTTTTGTCGGCAAGCTCTCTTTGTTCACAGTGGGTCAAGCAGTCATTTGTTTTCGCAGCATCGTTGGTGCAACACTTTGTCAAAGCATGCACTCTATCAAGCAACCGTTGCGTCTGACCCACGTTGTTTGTCAAGTTGACGCCTACCTGGCCACCGTTGCACAAGCTCCATTGTCGTTTTCGGCTTCGCATGGTCGACCAGTTTGCCTGTGGAAGTGCTTGGGTCGGGCAATGTATCTGCGCTCCTCGCCACGCGCGTGATGTGTCGTCTGCTTTCTGCACATATACAAACTCCAACGAATTCAAGCACGGTATGGATACGTTTCTTCCAACTGCTTTGGCCTTCTGCCTACCACTTCGGCCATTCCTCGTATCGGAAGCTGCACGGGCCTCCTTGTCCTTAGCTGTCATCGGTTTCCGAACCCACATCGAAGCTTCATCCGTAACATCATTGCAAATCATCGATACAACGTTGGTAAGGTATGGTTCCAGTGCTTGTTTCGTGGCCCCGTGGTGGGAAACAACTCCTCTCATTTTCAATATGTCGTGCTGCCGTCTCTTGTCGACTTGAACCGTGCTCGAAACGTTTATTGTCAAGTGTGACTCTTTCACAAAAATCCCACGCATCTGCGGTCTGAAATTGAAAATATCGCTGGACACTTTATTGGCCACGGTAGGGTTGGCCACCGAAACGGCACAGGCCCGTTCCTCTCGCAGACGCCTGGACACATGTCTAGCTTTCGCAAGCGTCAGCCGAACTCCTCTTGGTCGAACTGGCGGTGGGCGTGGTGGTGTTGCTGGTGCTGGTGCTGGTGGTGCTGCTGCCACTGGGGCCGCTGGTGGTGCTGCGGCTGCCACTGGGGCCACTGGGGCCGCTGGTGCTGGTGCTTCCTCTTCTGCTCCGGAGATGAGAAAGCCAAACATGAAGAGCGCAACCAGCGCGAATATGGACAATATGGAATAGCTGCATGAGACTCGCATGGAACGGTATGCGAACATGGATATAACATCAAAGAGCCAAAACGGCTACCGACGGAGGGGGGCGAGGGAGAGGACGGGCGTTGTAACAAACAAC